AATTCTGGGAGTTGAAGTCCACAAGTCTTAAAAGTTGCCAAGTTTGGGGACCCCTGATATAGGCTGTTCTGACACAAGTTGCCATGCAAGTTTTAGCTTTAATGTTGGAAAAAATGTCAGCAACACAGATAAAAGTGCAGAGGGAGAAAGAGAAATTGAATACCCCGGGCAGGCTCCTGCCTATGAATTATCTTGGAAGGTGGGGAAGACCCCTTCCAATTGCCATTAAGGATAATGTCAATAAAGTAAGAATTCCCTGGCTTAGCACTTTTTCAACTTCCTTTGGCCACAAATTTAACATAGCTCCTGTTTCTTATAAAACCATTTTTTATTAGCAATCTTGGCAACTCGAGGAGACCACATGGATTCAGAAAGTTTCGGAGGAAACGGGAGCAAAAGACGAGGCAACCTGACCTGGCAGGGGAGGCAGGGGAGGCCTGAATGGCCTAGCCTAGCCGTGACATTTCCATAACTCAAGCAGTCACGCGTTTAACAGCCCTATAAACTAAGAAGTAATTTAAGCACACAACCGAATTGCACAGGGAGGGAAATCCACTAGGCCTCAAAAAAGGAAATTCATCCCACACAAGCTGCATTGTGTTATGCAAGTGAGGTGAGCAAAGACTCCTTCAGGCTTCGGACATTTCACTATAAACTGCAAAAAGCTACACATCATTACAAGGAACCTAAAATCTTGGTAGACAAATTGGGCTTTTTTTTCTTCTTTTCTTAAAAGTCCTCCAATGGGTTTAATTAGACTCTTCGACCCAATTTTTTTTTAAAAAAAAAGGAAAACGGGGCTTTTCAAAGTGTCATATGGGAAACCAGTGGTTTTTTTTTTAAAATGGATCTTTATTATTAGGAATTACTCAACAAGACGGGACGGCAGCTGAGGAACAAAGACTCCTCAAAGTCCATTTGTCCACAACCTGCAATCTTGGCTTGAAAGGCCAGGGAATGCTGGGGAAGGCTAAGACTGACAAGGCAGGCCACAGTGACAATGAAGAGGTTTGCCCCAGGGGTGGCCTTCAAAAAAATTTAGGAAGGGGTTCTCTGCCCCGGTTGCTGGGTGGGCGTGGCCATGGTGGGCATGGCCTAGTTGGCCTCCTGCACCACAGCCGGGGGAGGGGGGGCGTTTTTCCGCTCCCCAGGCTCCGGAGGCTCTCTGGCCTCCCCTGGCCTCCGCACGGGCCCTGCACTTATCTGGGATCCAAAATGGGCCATGCGGAGACTCCTGGGAGGTGCGGGGAGGATGGGGCCAGCCAGTTGTTGCAACTACCAGTTCAACGAACCGGATGTAAAATTAACATCCGGTTCGCTCGAAGCGGTGCTAGCGGTCAGACCACCCCTGGTTCGCTCCAGATTTTGTATGAACTGACCAGATGCCCTCAACAATGGTTTTAAGCTTGTTCCTGGAGGTCACAAGGTACCCTAGAAATAAAAAGTTAAAAACCACTGTAGATGGAAGGGAAGGCAGAGGATCTTGGCTTGATTAAAAACACTCTGCTTGGTGGACAGCAGCGATAAGCAAGCGGGCAAAAACTGTGAAAGTAGCCAAATACGCACGTCCTTCTAAGCAGCTGCACTCTCTGTCCGTCCCTGGAGGATCTTCTACTCACCCCTGAGCCTGAAGCTTCAAGCAAGGTCCTGCAGTCAAGCCTGAGAAGAGAGGGCTGGACGGAAGCTATAACTTGAGCTCCCTGTCCGGTTTCATACAAAAGGGTTCCAGCCGCTCGTTCTCGGGCAGCAGGCTGTTCAGCCTCTCCATCAGTGGGACAGTTAGGTCAATGCCCATCTGGACGCGGCGGAGAATGGCGGACATCTCGTTGACTTTCTGGATCTGCTCGGCGTACTTGGCGTACCTTTTCTGGCGCTCTTGCATTAAAGTGTACAGCGTTTCTACTGAAAGATCCATCTGTAAAAATAAACAACAGAAATGGGACTTAATAACTTTGACATATATACCGCTTCACGGTGCTTGACAGCCCTCACAAAGCGATTTACAGAGTCAGCCTATTTGCCCCCAACAATCTGAGTCCTCCATTTTGCCGACCTCGGAAGGATGGAAGGCTGAGTCAACCCTGAGCCGGTCAGGATCAAACTCCTGGCAGTGGGCAGAATTAGCCTGCATTACTGTACTCTAACCACTGCGCCACCACGGCCAGACATGGATTATTAATGTTCCCTTCCCGGTATGAAAAAGAGTTTCTTTCTTCCTACAACTTGTATGGCAACCCTAACTCTTAACTCTGACAACATGACTCTGGGAGGATTGTGGGAGGCCATGTTGGCAATCACCATCATCATGAACAGACCCTATCCCTGCAATGGTCTACATGGGGATGGCCACAAAGACTATCCAGAAATTACCACCAGTCCTGAAAGCACGCAGTGTTTGCCCAGGTTAGCATCACTGCTGCACGAATTCCACTGGCTTCTATTTACAATCCTGGTGCAATTCAAGGTACTGTCATCTTTAAAGCCCTGAAGGGCAGGAGACAATTTACCTGTGGGGTGGCCTCTCCCTGAGATTTGCCTGTTCCACCAGGTCAAATAGGCTGGGCACACTCCAGGTCCCTGCCCTTAAACGTTGCCATCCTGTGGGACTTCGGCCGTGTGTGCCTTCTCAGCAGTGGTCCTTTGTAAAATACTCTCTCCCCGTACGCTCTTGTTGAAGGTGAGAGGTGTTTGGAGAAGTAGAGAGTTTTTAATTTGGTTTTTATTGTTTTATGACTGAAGCAGCCCGGGCTACGGTGCATAAGATGGGCAGCTATGCTTGTCATTTCAACAAACAAACAAGTGTATTCCCTTGCTGAATGTCTATGCGCTATCCAAGAATAGTAACTTTTTAAAAAGCCCGCTCAGATAAGGATGAGGACGGTGATGGCAAACCTATGGCACGCAGAGCCCTCTCTGTGGGTACGCGAGCCATCACCCCAGTTCAGTTCCGTCCCGCATGCGTGCTTCCCACTGGCCAGCTGGTCTTGGGTTCTCTGCTCAGCATGCACGGAGCACATGAACAGGGGGCCGCGCAGGCACAGAAGATGCACGCACATGATGCAGGAGGCATGCACGCATGCACAGGGGTGGGGGGGCATGCATGGGGGGCAGGGCGCATGCACGGGGATGCATGCGCATTGCATTTTGGGGATGCGTGCACACTCGGGGCCGAAAAGGTTAGCCATCACTGGATTAGGATAATGATTATCAACGTGTATAAACTTGCTCTCCATTGGTTACCTTTCCCCTTCCTTTCCCTCATTGGTAAGTTCTTTGGAACAGAGATCTTTTCAGTTGTTTGAGAATGGAGGAGAAGGCAACCCAAAAAATGTTCTGCTCACTTTTGTGCCTTAAAATATAATTTAATGCTTCTTTTATTAAAAAAAAAAAAGATGAAACACAAAAGGCAAAAATATTATATCCTAATCTTTTAAAAGTGGGAAATGCAGTCTTTTCTTCACAAGGAACCATTTCTTACTTTCACTTGATCCTAGAACGTATTTCAATTACATATTGTATGAATGTAAACAATATGCATTTAAATACTTCTTGTGTTGAGTTGGATTTCTGTGAAGCAGCTGGAAGACAGAACAATTTTGTCCTAAAATCCAAAGAAACAGCCCCGCTTCCAAAGACGGTTTAAGTAACAAGTAACCTTATTATACATACAGGCCTATATTCTGGAAATTCTGGTAATCCAGAGACTACATTATGATTGGAGCCATAAAGGCCTACCTCAAAAGTATCCTTTTTAGGGACCCCCCTAGAGCAAATTCCTTTAGGGCAAGGGTGTCAAACTCGCATCATCACGTGACGTATCGAGACTTTTTCCCACTTCACTAAAATGGGGGTGGGCGTGGCCACTGCGTGATGCATCCGGGCCACAGGCCACGAGTTTGACTTTAGGGGTATTTGGGGAGTTGGAGTCCACCCATCAAAGTGTCAAGCTTGAGAAATACGGCTTTAAGAGCATGAAATTCCAATAGCAGTCATTGTTTGGGGGCATGCCAAAATACAACAGTTCAGGGGTGGGATTCTACCAGTTTGCACCTATTTGCTAGAACTGGTTGTTAACATTCTAAGCAGTTGGGAGAACCGGTTGTTAGAAGAAATTATTGGCCTAATCCTGTAAGGAAGGCAGGAAGGAAACATTCTGGTGTTGCTTACAGAAACTGCCTCTCCGTTAACCCTTATTACATTCTTGGCAGGACTAGACTTCCTATCTCAGGAACTTCTCTGGAGTTTTCCCCCCCTCCTTTTCTGGTACTTTGCTTGTGTGGAGTGACCATTCAAAGTTACAATGGCACTGAAAAAAGGTGACTTATGATTGTTTTTCACACTTATGACTGTTGCAGCATCTCCACAGTCATGAGAGGCCAGGCGAGGAGATGCGTGCCGCGATGTGAGTGATGTTGAGTTGGTCACACCCAGCCAATAACATGACCACCAAGCTATGTCCACCCAGTCACATGACCACCAAGCCACGCCCACCACCTAAGCCACACCCACAGAACCAGTTGTTAAAAATTTTGAATCCCACCCCTGCAACAGTTCCATGTAAAGCTATCTGGAAAGCAGGATTCAACCCAGGGAGATGAAACTGGCAGCCTCTCCCGGAAATAGGTAACTCTTGACAACAAAAATACTTGAATGTATCCTGCACTGCAGAGGCTTGTTTGAGCATAAAAATAAGACTAGATCCAATCTTTCCAGTGAACGGATATGAGCCGAGATCCTCTGATCTTCTAACCTTCGCTGCTTGGAGTTTGAAAATTACAAACCAAAATTATGGGCTTTATTTTTAAATAGGAAAAAAAAGGATATGTCATTGCATGAGTAACGAAGACCCAAGGTCATCAATTTACTCAATAAAAGGTGGTTAACTTTCCTTTCTATATCTATACTAGCTCGATACCTGTGCTTCGCTATGACGGTCATTTGGAAAAATCCTTTCTTAGTGAGCCCCCAGAAGCCAAATTTCAAGTTTGTAGGCTTTACAGTTCTGGAGATTTTGTGATGATGTATGAGTGGTATTTTGCTTTTACATATATAGATGATTCCCTAGGGAGTGTAAAATGAGTTGAAAGCACATGATCCACCAATTAATCAAAGCTTCCTTTCACTAGCAGAATTTTCTAGCCGTTGCTATAAAAAAAATACTGTTTTCTGAACAACTATCCTGTTTAATCTTCCTCAGCCCACACTTCCAACTTGCAATCAATTCTAATTTTACAAGAAAATTTTCCTCCAAACTCCTTAGCCTCAGACAGAAAGTCATAAAGGGTTGATTCCCCCCAAGTGCTGCGTCAGGGGGAGTTTAGAGTTTAGATTGTATGATACATTGGTGAATGTGGGTCAGGGGGCTGGTTTTCTTGGCTTTATTATTTTTTGGCATGCTACCTAGAGTTATGTGCTACGGGCGCTGATATAAGTCTCGTAAGTAAATAAATATTCCTACCTTGATTTTTCCCAGTATTTAGCTATTGCCATTAGTACTCTAAGTAACTTATTTATTAGTGACCAAATTTTTATTATTTTTTTATTAGCAAACCACACAGTGTGGCCAGCTATATCCATTGTGTTCTCTTGGAAAAAGGGTTGCTTGCTATTTTTTCAACACTACTTAAAATTAATGATACTGCAAACCAATACAAAGAAATCCACCTTGGGGTCTGAATTCTTCAGAATTATTCCCTTTGCAACTCTTCAATAAACTTGCTTTATATTTCAGTAAATGCCCTGCTGGCAAAAATATTCACAACAGTCTTAATGTAGCTTATGAGGATCTTCAGCCAACACAACATACACATTTTAAACCCAAGAATAAAGCAGAAACTTGTCCACCCCAAGAATAAAACACTCAAACACAAACTAAGTAGTGTGGTATATGCAGTACAATGCAGTGAGCCATGTGCAGAACTGTACGCTGGGAAAACAAAACAACCACGTCATAAACACATGGCACAACATAGGAGAACAAACCCATCAGGACAAGATTCAGCAGTCCATTTGAATTTAAAAGACAAAAGCCCACTCTTTTGAAGACAGCAAAGTCCACATTTTGGACAGAGAAGGCCTCTGGTTTGAAAGAGCAGTCAGAGCGGCCATCTAGGTCAGAGCTGAAGAAGCTTCTTGGATGAAAAGAGAAATGTCTTCAAAGAAAAAACAAGGAAGTCCAGTTGCCTCCTGAAAAAGCACCTTTGAGGACAATCTTAACGTACCTGGATTATTTTTAAAAACTGGCCATTAACGATAATTAATTTCACGATGTCCTCAACATACATACAATCTGATTTAATCCGCATTAGCATTTCCCAAACGAATTCTCCCAGAAGAGATGGAAACAGAAAAAGCTGGTGGTTTATTGTCTCTCAACGTTTATCTTGAAGCCCTTTGGAAAATACAAATCCAATCCAGAGGTTCAGCTGTTTGACATTTATAGCAAACTCACAGCAGACCCAATTCCTCCTCCTCCTCCTCCTATTTAAAATTGTGGCAGTCAGCAATCAATCTCACCACCACCAAACCTGATGAAGTCATACCTTGCTGTTCATGTACCATCAGCCCAGTCTCCAATGAGCAGAGGGCTTATGATCGCAAACTAAACCATCTGTCTCCTATGCGAAGTTCGATCATATTTCTTCTACCCGATGTCCTATGCTATTTAGCAACTCTATAAAGAAAGCCTGATACAGTACAGTGAGCGTGATTTTGCATTGTACTGTACATGGTTCCTTACCCATGGAACGGTTCGCAACTTCTTTCACAAACAAAATTCTGCATAACTCATAATAAGCACTTTTTCAACCCCAGGAATCAAATGAACTCATCTTACGATGCATCTTCCCTGCCAGGTGTGTCTCCTGGATCACTGCAATGCAAATATCCATGCCAGATGTCCAACAACGAAGAGTGAATGTATATTTCACAGGTAACAACACTCAGAGGTTCATGAATTACTTCATAAACTAATGCACACAGGAGATAGGATTGATTTCTTATCACTTGCTGGGAAGTGAAGCAAAATTACTGTAATGAAATACTGTGGAACTGAACGAAATGTTCACATTAAACAAAAAGGTGTTATGTCTTCTTCACACAAATAATGCCTCTCTGCAGGATGGTGGTGCCTGTCTTGAAAGAGGTGTGGGTACACCCCTTTCTCAAAAGGCCATCCTTAGACCCATAAGTGTTAAGTAAGTGATTTAGGAGAATTTTTATAGCTCACAGTTGAAAAAAGGGGATTCTTGGTGCATGGTTGTACCCAAAGTACATAAGATCATCAGTGCTAGTCAGCGATGAATAACTTTCTGCAACTTTCCCTTTTTAGCAATAGCACTTAAAGACTTATATACCGCTTCACAGTGCTTTACAGCCCTCTCTAAGTGGCTTACAGATTCAGCACATTGCCCCCAACAGTCTGAGTCCTCATTTTACCAACTTTTGGATGGCTGAGTCAACCTTCAGCCTGTCGGGGTCGAACTGCTGGCAGTCGGCAGAGTTAGCCCGCAATACTGCGTTCTAACCATTGCGCCATCACTTTTTAGGGGATGATCTGGACCATATTCCGGCTGGGCTACAGCCCTGAGACTGCACTGGCCATTATTTTAACGCCATCTCAACTCTGAATTCCTCCTTCAAAATCCATTTTAAAATAGAGATGCACTCCACTTCTCTGCCACTGGAATCAAGTCAACCCAATGGTGTTTGCTCACCTTTTTTTTTTATTCTACATCCTTTCCCCCCACTGCATCTTTCCCATCAATGTTCTCACTGGATTTTTATGCAGGATCTCTCTAGTGTCCGTTAAATATGCATTGGTTTCCCTTCGTTTGCAGCTACATCGAATCCGGTCTCAACCCTCTTCCAACAAGATAAACCTCCCCTCTTAGTCTAGCCCCGTGATGGCGAACCTATGGCATGCATGCCACAGGTGGCACGCAGAACCATTTGTGCTGGCATGCGAAACACAAGCAAACTTACCTTACTGCGCATGTGCGTGCTCCTCAGATGATTTTCAGCCTGTTTGAGGCCTTTTTCGGCCTCCCAGAGTCTTGAGGAAAGCCTTTGCAGGCTGAAAAATAGGCCCATTTCATCACTTCCTGTATTCCCGGAAATACCGGAAGGGATGAAACGGGCCCATTTTTCATCCTGCAAAGCCTGCAGAAGTTTTCCTCAAGCCTCTGGGAGGCCGAAAAAGGCCTCAAATGTAGTGCAGGTAAGGGGGTGGCCAGGGAGAGATTGCGTGCATATGTACAGGGGGTGTGGGGGGGGGCACATTGCCTTCTGGGTGCTGACACATGAGCGTGCAAGCACAAGCACGTGCACAATTTTTGGCACAGGAACCCAAAAAGGTTAGCCACCACTGGTCTAGCCTGACATGTTGCTTTTCATGAACTCTGGAAGAGCTGCATTCTCTAGGAGAAAAAAATAGGAAGCAATTTTCCAAGAGAAAATTGGATAGAGTATAGAGAGACATTATATATTTTCTATACCCTAGTATTATAAGCCTATAATTTTCCAGCTCCTCTGCTTCCGATAATAACAGCACATTAGTCATCCTCAGAAATCCTAGATGCAGACACAGCTGGAAAGCTGTTATATATAGTGATCATTTATCATTAAAGCGAATGCTGGGTTTATTCCAGCACATCAGGATGACTAATCCTTGTTTTGCTCCCAAGTACGCAATTCATCAAGAACTGTCTTCCTTCTCTTCTTACTCTTGGGTTTTTTTCCATACAATGTACCTTCTTGAGTCTGTATTTTAGAAATCAACCTTAATTGATACAAGTTAACTTGACGTGAATTACTTTTGTTTCAAACTTAGAAAGTTTGTATAAACTGCATTTATTGTTTATTTTTGCAGACTTGGGCTTTTTGTTTATTTACATTAATCACGTTTACCCACGAAGGAAGGAAGGAAGGAAGGAAGGAAGGAAGGAAGGAAGGAAGGAAGGACTTAAACTCTTCCCTCTTCCAGATTCTTTCTCCTTCCCTCCCCACTTCCACCAAATATACTCAAACATACACAGTGCATATTATTTTGTGAGTAAAGCAATAGATTGGGGCAGCCATTCTGGGATTTCATCATCTAGGAAAAAATAGAGAAAGACTGCATTTTTCCAAGCTATGTATAGATCCCAGTTCCTCCTGGAAGTTCTGTAGAGTTTTGTGGACATTTTTACAAGCCACAATAATGTCATGCATGTTGTGACACTATGATGCAAGTACTCTGAATCACCAGCATCTAAGGTACAATTAGCTGTTTCACTTTCTGTTGATTTTTTTTTAAAGGATTTTCTAAAAGCAAGCATTTGCTTCTTCTCAGTTAGACTTGTGCCGTAAAATAGCTATGGCTGTCTCACAGGCACTCCTACTGTTTAGGCAGTGACACAAGAAATGACTTAAAGTTGTTCCGTGTGGAAAAGTACAAAAAGCTTAAGCAATCAGACGCAGAAATTAGCATTTAAATGTTCACACCTTCTTTTTAAAGGAAACACATGCATTTTAAACTGATGTTCAGTTGATGTCTATGATTTCAACTTTCTAGTAATGTGTGTTTTCCAGTAGAGATAGTTCTCAACTTGAGTCCAAATTTTATATTGCTAAGTGAGAAATTTGTTATGTGAGTTTTGCCCCATTTTACGATTTTTCTTCCCACCTTTGTTAAGTGAGTCACTGCAGTTGTTAAATTAGTAACACGGTTGTTCAATGAATCCAGTTTCCCCATGGACTTTCCTCGTTAGAAGGTCGCAAAAGAGAATCACATCACACACGCTGAGGAATTCTGGGAGTTGAAGTCCACAAGTCTTAAAGTTGCCAAGGTTGGAGACCCCTGCCCTACACCATTTCAGACAAAGGGTTATCCAATCTCTTCTTAAAAACTTTCAGTGTTGGAGCAACCACAACTTCTGGAGGGAAGTTGTTCCACTGATTGTTATTGTTGTTGTTCTAAACTGTTAGGAAATTTCTCCTTAGTTCTAAGTTTCTTCTCTCCTCAGTTAGTTTCTATCCATGGTTTCTTGTTTTACCCTCAGGTGCTTTGGAAAATAGCTTGACTCTCTCTTCTTTGTGGCAGCCCCTGAGACACTGGAACGCTGCTATCATGTCACCCCTAGTCCTTCTTTTCATTAAACTTTTAATTAAAGTAATTTTTCAGGGGAGCAGAAAGTCCTCAAGTATCTATCTTGTCCTTGTTCTCCTGAGTTACTGCTGCTGCTGTCCTTAGATTTCCCCCCCTTCCATTCCCACCACCACCCAACACTAGTGCTCCTGCCCCGAATGCTTTCATTTTGTATTTGGAACAACATATGAAGCATGCAAGCCAGTTCAGTGCATGCAATGGTTTGTGTGCGAATCGTTCCGTACTTCATAGCCCCATCTACTGGAGATCCCCTTTTCCAGACCCAACATGGACGCACCTCTTTGATCCGCTTGACTAAAGCATTCTGGTCAAAGGCCACAGCTTCTGCACACTGGTGGAGGTGGTCCTGGTACCGGAGACACAGCTGTAGTACTTGCTGAGAATCAAGTTTTTCTAGTTTAATGTTGGTAGGAGACATCTGCCCACTAAGAAGTCCTAGAAAGGAGAGGAGAGAAAGAGAGGGTAATTAAGGACATTGCCAAGAACTAAAGGATGAGAAAGACCAAAACAAAAAACAAAAAAACCCACCCACAAAATGTCCAAATATTATCTGCCTACATCATGGGTGTCAAACTCGATTTCACTGAGGGCCGCATCAGGGCTGTGTTTGACCTCAGGGGGGCGTGGCTAGGGTGGGTGTGGCTAGGGTGGGTGTGGCCAGTTTGATGTCATTTGTGTCAGGGCGCCTGTGGTGGCCTAAGCGCTCTGCCAGTGAAAATGGGCTCCCGGGCTCCGTTTTTGCCTGCCACGGCAACCCTCTGCCAGGGAAAATGGAGCTTGGGATGGTCCTGGCAGCTGAAAACGGAGCCTGGGAGCTCCATTTTCGCTGGCAGAAGCATGGCGGTCTTATCCTTCGCTGTTTCCAGTGCAGCCCCCTGGGTCGGATCTAAGTACCTTGCGGGTCGGATCTGGCCCCCGGGCCTTTAATTTGTCACCCCAGGCCTACATGGGAAGGTCACTGAAAACAATGTTTCTCAACCTTGGCAACTTTAAGATGTGTGGATTTCAACTCTCAGAATTCTAGGCATTGAAATCTCATGTCTTCCAAGCTGCCAAGGTTGAGATATGTTAACTTAAAACATTGCTAGGGTAATCCAGATAAGAGCTGATTTTTTAGCAAAAAAAAGAGAGAGAGACAGAGAGAGAGAGTGTGTGTGTCGGCGTTCCAGCAACCTCCATTCCAATCAATAACTCTGAGACAGACATATCTCAAAGGTACCTTTAATTGGATAGTAAACCGGCACATCTGTGGAATCACCAATCTGAAAGTTTTTGGGCTTCCTTGCAATATTTAAAACTACAAATCCATCTCCCGCTTGGCCGTCATCACATCACATGGCCCAATCACGATCCGTCCTAAAGCAAGATCCTCATTTCATCCTGCGCCATACTCAGTGACCTTGAACTAACAAAAGAATTTTGTCTACTTAGAGCTACTCAACCCTCCCACTTTCTCAGGTTTCTGGCAGCGTGTCTCAATCTCAATATGGCTTCCAAAGCTGACCGAGAGCTTCTTTTATGGATAGTAGCAGTGATAATTTTTAAGGCATTCTGGATCTTCATTTCCACTCATAATGAAAGGAAGACAAATGCAGGTAGCCCTCGACTTATGCCCACAGTTCAGCCCCAAATTTCTGTTGCTAAGTGAGATAGTTGTTAAATGAATTTTACCCCCATTGTACGACCTTTCTTGCCATGGTTGTTAAGTGAATCAGTGCAGTTGTTAAGTTAGCAACAGAGCTAATCTGGCTTCCCCGTTGACTTTGCTTGTCTGAAGGTCGTACAAGTTGATCACATGACCCCGGCACACTGCAACCGTCATAAATATGAGTCAGTTGCCAAGCGCCTGGATTTTGATCATGTGATCCCCCAGGGGGATGCTGCAAGGGTCCTGAGTAAAAAAATGGCCATAGAGTCACTTTTTCCATGTTGTAACTTTGAATTGTCACTAAAAACAAAGGGTGGTCACGAACCTGTATGGTTTTCTACACTTTTGTTTTTATGACTCTGTAATCCTTTAATTTGGGGTGGAGTCAGGGCAACTCGATGGAGCCGATTATTCACTGGCTGGATGCCCTGCCTGATGCCTATGTGGAGTTTGCAGCAGGTATTTTGTTTTTCTTTTGCGCCCTAAGAGAGCATCTGCCGCTGCCTAGAAGTGAACTCTCAACCTTCTGAGTGGGAGGACAGCGTCTTCACCACTAGGCCACCACATTGCTCATACATTATTATATGCTCATGGTGCTTAATCAACAGTTCAGGGAGCTCAATGGGTCATTCAGTGGGATGCAACCTCTTGCATAGGCCACATATAAGGGGAAAACGCACTGGAAAAAAGGGGGATGATACAACAGTGGTGGAACTCATCTCTGGGGAGGGATGAGTCTGCCTATCGAGATGAGGTGGACCAGTTGCTTTCGTGGTGTGGAGACAATAACCTGGTCCTCAACACCAATAAGACCAAGGAGCTTAGAGTGGACTATGGAAAGAACAGATCTGACATCCAGCCCTTGCTTATCCATGGAGACAGTGGAGCAAGAGGTCACTTTTAAGTTTCTGGGTGTTACCATAAAAGTGGACCTGACCTGGGGTGCTCACATTGAAGCCCTAGTCAAAATGGCCCAGCAGAGATTATACCACCTGAGGCTTCTCAGAAAACAACAACTGAATGAGAAACTGCTGGTGACCTTCTACCGCTGCACCATAGAGAGCATCTTCACTTACTGCACCTCTGTAGGGTTTGCCAATTGCACAGGGGCAGATAGGACAGCACTCCAGTGGGTTAACGTCATTGCCCAGAAGATCATTGGCTGCCCTCTCCCCTCTTTGGAAGAGCTTTATAGCTCTTAAGAAAGTTCAAAACATTCTCAAAGATCCATCTCATCCTGGGCACCCTTTTTTTGAACTGTTACCATCTGGCAGACGGTACAGAATAATAAAAACAAGGACAAATAGGTTGAAAAACAGCTTCTATCCCAGGACAGTAGCTCTGTTGAATTCTGCTATACAGTGTAGTGTTGGTGCGGTGTCAGGGTTTTTAGATTCAATGTGTGGAGGGTGAAGGATGTGTGTGTTTATTTTCATGGTCATGGTCATGATAGGCATTGAAGATGGTGTTTGATTTCGTTGTATGAGGTGCAATGACAATAAAGCAAAGTAAAGAGAACGATAGCTCCTTCTGCCTCAGTCCCAGTCCCAAGGAGCTATAGAAAGCTATGATATGTATGGAAGGTCAGGATTTTGGATGTTAATTATTTAACAAAATAAAAAAAATAAGAGGGTGAAAATGAGAGCAAGAGGTTTCAGGTTTCCAGACCCACTCTAAACCAATCATCAAACATCACATTTTCACCAAAATGTGAAAAACGGCTCAGGATAACTTTTAGTATCAAAATGGCTAGATTTTGGTGTCACAATTCCAGGACATTTTCCCAAATTTTTGGAGGTGTTTAAAGGCAGAAATTGAATAATTATGTTCTCCAGAAGCCTCCCATCCTTATTTACACCCTTAATTGTGGGGAGGAGAAAAGTACTCCCTCAAAGCAGCTGTTTTGGCACATTTTAGCAATACAGATTTGGAGCTGGGCTGGGGGTTAAGGAAGACAGATGATCCAAACAGTTTCCGGCATATTTGTACCAGAAGCTTAAATAAAACTGCTATAGCAATGTTTCTTTATGCAGCATATGGAAGACATAAAAGCTCCTGAAGGGGAAAAAATCAATTCAAACCACATCAGATTTTATTCCTATTAACAGACAGACTGCTTCCATTTCCCCCTTGCAGTTCTGTGCCTATTTATTTATTTACATTTCTGATATTTACTGATGGAGTGGAAACAGCATTACAGTGAAATAATTTTTTCCGAGTTCATCTTTCTGGCTGAAAATCAAGGAATAGCCCCCAAATTCATCAACACTCTGAAAAGATCCTATTTCAATGTTCTGAAAACCGAGAGAAGCCCCAGGAGACCATATTCCAAACCAAACTGATCTGTAAAAAGCCTTTTGAAAACACACAGCTGAAGTACATTGGTTCCATGAAGTACATTGGGACCATTCATAAATCTTTTTATATAGAGAACAACAATAAATAACATGACTATTGTACAGGTATGACCACAACTGAGCCCAAAATTTATGTTGCTAAGTGAGAAACTTGTTAAGTGAGTTTTGCCCCATTTTATGACTGTTGTCACTGTTGTTAAGTGAATCAATCATCCTCTTTTAATGACCCCATAATCCCTGGTGAGGTGGAGTCTAGGCAACTGAACAGAGCTGAATGTTTATTGGCCGGATGCCCTTCCTATCACCAATGCGGAGTTTTTTTCCAGCAGGTATATTCTCAGTGTACTCAGAAATATCTGCTTCTACCTAGGATCAAACCCACAGCCTCCTGATTGTGAGGTGAGAGCTGCACCTCTAGGCTACTCTGACCATGCTTTTCTCTCCAGGAATTTTAAATATTTTAACCGCATATAATTCTTTAATAACTCTGTCATAGCACAAGACATCTTGATTCACCTCAATCACTCAGATCAATCAATCTATAGTATTTCTTCGGTCAATGACCAACGAACTTTAAAAGAACAAAAATAGAATGAAGCAAATGAATAATATACCCACAAATAACAATCATTCATGACTGATTCCAAGGGAGATGACTCCACCTGAGATATCATTGAAAAATATTAGGAAACTTCAGCTATTTTATAAACCAAGTACAGTATGTTCTTATTATTTCATCAGTGATGTCTACCTTATCACATCCAAGGTCAATCAATGTTTTTTGTGACGCTTGGGTAGCTTATTTTCCCAGTAATTTCTTTTCTTAGTTGTTACTATGCAAACAAAATGTTAAAAAGTGATATTTACCAAGCATATCTATGTTATATTAAAGTAACCAAGATATCTTTACAATCTCCAAGGCATGTCACAACTTTTGAGCAATGCTAATGTTTGGAAATCTAAAGTTGAAAAACTTGATACTCCCTACAAGTTACATATCCCCTTCAACTGAAGCTGTGCTTATGTCTTTCCGTGCTCTTCGGTTTGGAGAACAGACTGAACAAAGGGCAGTTTTTTTTAATTCTTCCTTTTTTAAAATGTCCTCTTAATAGGTGGCTTATTAGTTTTAATTCTTAATAAGACACCCATAACCTGTTTCAGAGGTATTTTCTTATCATATTTCTCAGTACTTCAACAATGGCATAGCTTCTGATGTACTTGAAAAGTTCTTAAAAATTAAGAACTTCTAACATACTGTACTCACTAGAAAAAATGGGATAGAATCAGAGATGGACCTGCCTTGAAAATAGCCCATGTTGAACTGTACGGTACAGTCAAACTTCAGCAGGGGAAATGTTTTACGATATTTTGTATTGTGTCGTAAACTGTTTCAGGATCATTTTTATGCCATTAATTAAAATCCTTTCTAAAATTTGCAAAAATTTCAATTCCACGGGAGTCATGAGTCCTGGATTTTGGATGCAATCTGTAAGTTGGACCATTTGAAGCAACTTCGTCCAAAACATTCTGTCCTATGGCGCACCATTTTGCCCAGTGAAAGGTTACAAGAATCGGTTTTAGGGAGAGATTGACAGATAAGACTTTGGAGCTTGCCAATTTTAATCCACCCATTCATACCTGCTCTGCTCAAGTTGGTCTCAATCTCAGATTCCATTCCAAGCTGGTTTAAAAAGCAACAGGACAAACTAATCTTTTCATTTGTTTTCTCTGTTGCCTTACAGAGTGGCTCAAGTCTGAAATTTCCCAGAAATTACTCAGCCAGGATCACTTGGTTTCCCTGTGATTTGCTTTCAGCAAAGGATTTGCAACACCTGCGCTCTTTGTATTTCACATCTGCCTGTAGAAATAAAAACCCCAGTCAGGGTATGTGACCACAGAGTTGCTGCTCTGTGCTATATAAAGTTCATCTCCATTAACAGGTGTTCAGGTGGTAAGAAAGACACCACCTTCCTAACTAGGTTCCAATGTCTTTTTTTTTTTTTTTTGAAGGTTTGACCAAATTAGCCCATCAAGAGGTCAATATTGCCTATTACATAGCAGAATTCAGCTGATCTACATCAGTGGTTGCCAACCAGTAGGCCAGGGACCACTGGTGGTCCATGAGAAAATATTGGTGGTCCACAGAGAAATGTCACCCCCAAAGCATCCCCCAAAGCAATTAATCCAGGCTGCGCGGGAACACAAGGCTTGCATCGCAAACAGCATGAGGTAGTGAGGGGAGGAGGAAAAGGGCGAAGGGAGAGAACTTGCCCCACTCGCCCCCCGCGCCTTGCCTGGCCACCAGGCTGCTTCTTTCTGCTTCTTTCTTCTTCTGCTTTTCGCTGCATGCAAGGAAAACAGCAAAAGTCTTTCTTTCTTTCCCCCAAACTCCTCCAGAAATGAGTCTTTGGGAAATAAACGGTAAGGCAACCTGCTCCAAGACGCTGTGCCAGTACAACAAGTCTAGCAAAGACTCATTTCTGGCGGAATTTGGGGGAGAGAAAGAAAGACTTCTGCTGCTTTCCTTGCACGAAGCCAAAAGTCAGTCAGTCAGTCAGTCTCCCTCCCTCCCTGCCTCTGAGAACAGAGCTGGAGATGGTATCCTGCAATCCCAAATAAAGAATGATCGATCAATAGGAAAACGGGATGGGGAATTTTCCTTCAGCCTTTTTGGGGGATTTTCCCAGGGGCTCTGGTCCCAAAATTATGAGTTTGGTGGTCCCTGAGGTCCAAAAGGTTGGCGACCCCTGATCTAAATCTTCAGAATGCTTTGATGCTACCCTGTGCAGACATGGAGCTACTGTTTTATTCCCCTGCAAATGTGTCAGGAAATTAAAAGCTATAAAATGCAGAGAAGCCCTTCAATAACAAATACTACTTTATACAATGTGGCACTATCAGTATCTTCTGCTGAGAAGAAAAACTGGCATGTCTAGCATCTGCTCTGAGCAATTACCTGGGTCATAAGACTTACAGACAAAAGCAGACGAAGACTACTCTATCACGTTTTCCACTCGCCTCCGCTGACAGGACGTTGTCAGACTTGTCTGATTATGTGAAAATATATAGCCTGTTTTTCTACCAAAAAGCCAAGCCTCAAAGCAGCTTTGGGGGAAAAATAAGTCACTTCAAATGAACAAAAATCATTGCAAAAAAATGTTGAATAAGTAGCATCCTGGGCAGCACAAAACAAGCAACAAGAACAGGAGCAGCCAAGAGGATGGATGGAAAGCTACTTCTGTCTTCTTCCACATTATACCATTACCAAATCCATACATAATACATAATACAGATTCCATTAAAACTTGATTCTACACTATTGCGCTCTTACTCCAAAAGATAAAAAAAAGAATGGAACGATCAGGCCTCACGGTGATTGGACAAGCAATAAACATGACAAGGAATCATTATTCCTTGTGGAATATATTTGGATGGAAACTGAACAAGGAGAGATTTAACCTGGAAATAAGGAGAAACTTTCTGACAGCGAGAACAATCAACCAATGGAACAGAAGTTGCCCTCAGAAGTTGTGGGAGCACCATCACTTGAGACCTTCAAGAAGAGATTGGACTGCCATTTGTCAGAAATGGTGTAGGGTCTCCCACTTGGGCGGGGGGTTGGACTAGATGACCTATAAGGTCCCTTCCAACTCTGATTATCTGTTATCTGTTATTTAGGCTTGATTAAAGCAAGCAAGCAGAGAGGTGCCACCTTCAATACAACTTATTTCGAGAACATCAGAATACGGCACAGTGCTTTCCTATTTTTCAAAAACAAAAAAACCCCAAACCCCACCCCTACATTCTTAGAATTAGGGGGCTACTTCAAACAGTAGACAGGAGGTCCCCGACTTACGGCCACAATTGAGCCCAAAATGTATACTGCTCAGTGAGACGTTTTGGTTAAGTTAGTGACACGGTTTTTAAGTGAACCTGGCCTCCTCATGTTGACTTTGCTTGTCAGAAGATCACCAAAGATAACACTGAAACCGTCGTAAGTATGAGTCAGTTGCCAAGAATCTGGATTTTGATCATGTGACTGTGGGGATGCTGCAACGGTGGAAGAAATGGCCCTAATTCACTTTTTTTCCAGTGCCTTTGTAACTTTGAATGGTTGTAAGTACTACATGTACATTCTAATAAACTGTTGAAAGAATAAGTTGGGAAGACCAAGTTGTATGTTGGGAGCTCCAGAGAACACAGGCGAAGATCTTTCTTGGCCCTGATTTAAGAAGAGCTCAGCTATGCAAATTGACAGCTGGGATCTGTTGGATCCCATCCACTCTTTAGCATTAAAACTGCCCAGAATATCATTGGTCTCAGCCAGTCCTCGAGTATTGAAGATTTGTCCTGAAATGAATACAAACTCCAGCTCCTTTGTAGTGCAATGGTGGTTTACTCATTAGCTCAGCAAACAACAAACACACTTCTCTGACAAGAAAGGCTAAAAGCCAGGCAAGGTTAGAGTTGGGTTTGAGTTTGCTCCCTTTCCTTTTATTACCATTATCATGAGACACACTCCACGACACCCAGGCCTATACGCAGTTCTAATTCTGGCCGTGCCTAACCCATTATCCCTAAATGCTATTAACCCTATGTCTACATCCCTACCCTATTCCGACCCTCACTAACTGATCCCCACCTGGTGCCACCTTCACCATGTTTTAATCTAAGGCTGAATTACCACCTATATATGCCCCAAACCCCTTTAACAATATGCACCACATCAAAACATGAAAAGAGCCATTTCCAGCAGCCCCGCAGTTGCTTCAGAATCCATCCTCCATCCCCGCAGTTGTTGCAGAATCCATCCTCAGCTCTGCTGAGTCATTCTAAAGCCATTGGCCAGCACACAAGCAGAAATACAGATCTGGCAGCAGCAGAGATAAGATGACATGGCCAGCTGACTTGCTGCGAGTCATATTCGGAGTTGACGGGCTCCGAGTGAACTCAAAGCCCGACACTTGGGCTCCAGCTACCAGCCCTGGATGGCATCTTTGCAACTCGCTGTTTGAGGAAGTTTCACAACATTCTCAGAGACTCTTCCCATCCTGCTTACAATCTTTGTGAACTGTTGCCTTCTGGGAGAAAATACAGAACAATTAAAACTCAGATCTCACGTTTTCTGAACAGTTTTTATCCCAGAGCTATAATTGCACTTAACAGTGAACTTAAGGACCACCATCAGTGAGCGGTTGGACAATATTATTTGGTCTGTTGTGGTGGGTGCTTGTGTGTTTTTAGGGGGCGGGGAATTTTGGCAGGTGGGGAGGTGTTTGGGGGTTGTCCTGTGTGTGTGTGCATGTTGAGCCTGGTCTCTGGGTGTTATGTGAATTTTGTTGTATGTATACTGTGTATATACAATGACAATAAATAATTCAATTTAGCAACAGAGTCTTTTAAAGGGCAGCTCCTGCCTACCCAAGCTGCCTTTACATTTTTCTTCCCACTTTATATTCAGTGGAAATTGGCACCAGTTCAGTTCTGCACATGTGCTTGCTGTCCTCTCACTTAGCTTGGTTCTGGTTGACTGAAGCTCCAGCAACTTTCATTCTTAGGATCTCACAACGGACTGAAAAGCCATTCCATCCATCTTCTGAATAAATGAGCAATCCATTTGTAGAATGTTAATGCCAAAATGCGAAAGATACTTCTGAGAGTCTATATGGATTCTAGCAGCATAGACATTTGAAAAAAAAAATGGCCAAAAAAAACCACCATCGTAATTTAGTCCTGCTGATGTACTGGTAGAGCTTGAGTTGCTACGATTCATTTAGTGACCATTCAAAGTTACAACGGCACTGAAAAAAAGGACTTATGGTCTGTTTT